GTGTGTGTGTGTGTTTGGGGGGGTAGGGGTGGGTGTAGGGGGCATAATATTATGCTTTCTCTCTGTGACTCACTCATCTCATCTCATGCTCTTCAAGCTGTGCTTCACGTTGAGATAAGGTTTTCTCATGAATAGTCAGCAGCTGATAGTTGTTAATGTTAATTAATTCCCTTTGTTAACCCCTAACTAACCCTCATAAGTGGGCAAAGAACAGCTCCCAATTGACAACACAGATGGGTGCACAATGAAACCGCAAAGCTCACCAGAACAGATTCTCTGATAACTGGAAATGACAGCATTGTACTGCCTTTATTGCACTGTAATTGCTTGGATGAAAAATGTTCCTTCTGAATATCTGCAAAACATTTTCCATAATTGAAAAAATTGCTGTTACATTTATACAGTAAATCAATTAAGGATTACAAGGTTGCGTTCAAGGTTTTAAGCTCAGTCTCCTTGTGCTTTTGCAGTTTTCAGAGCACTAAGGTTAACAGCTCTTGTGTTGCTCTGTTAGCGGGCTCCCTACCTCCCTCAGCTCTCTTCCTTCCATCTTTTGCTTACCCCACCCCTTCCCTCTCAGCCTGCCTACACTAGATCGTAAATCTCTTTGCCGCACTGCAAGTTGGTCGTTAGAATTCTATTAGCTGTAAATATTCAATAAGGATCCTCACTTAGAGTCCCCTGTCTGTGTTATCAGACGCGGTCCAGCTTCAATCGTTACGCTGGCTTGTCTTTTATTGTTTAGTCAAACAACAGGAAGCGATTTATGGCTGGATGCGGACAATTGCCACTTGAAAGGATGTATGTTACTTTTAGTGCCCAACCCCAAAGAGGGGATGATAAAAATGAAAAGGACAGATGTTAAAGTCCACATAAGTACATTTTACATAGCTTGTACACAGTTCTGCTCTGCTGGTAAAGCATTGCAATGTTTTTTTTTCCAAATAATGAGTGCAGTAGAGTTCCTTCAGAGAGAAGCAATCAATCATAACCATATTGTGACCAACGACTGTGCTGTTGTCAGAGTAACAGTCATTAAAGGAGCCCACGGGAAGGTCTCCCATGTTATCTCGTGCTATGACAGAGGACTACTCTGGCAGGGTCCCTGTTTCGAAACACACATTAATCTTGTCACACGCACAAACACGCTCACCCCAATGATCCCAGGTAACGGTAACCAACGCCCTCACTCTTCACTGCCCCGACCCCCAGGAAGCTATTTAATGAGTTCTTTAATTCACTGTATTGTCTGTTAATGTCTCCACGGTTCTGCTCAGGTATACGCCTCTGGGAAGGCAAGATAATGGGGGCTACTTTATCATCGATTCAAGTCTGATGAATGGCCCTCGCTAAAACTCAGTTTGTTTGTGTCTTCTCTGCTTTCTCCCGCTCTGAATCGGGTAGGCCGGGGTAAACGTTCTGCTGCAGGACGTCAACGGAAACATTCCTCTGGACTACGCCTCCGAAGGGACTGAGACCAGCTGTATCCTCCGAAAACACCTGGAAGAAAATGGTAAAGCACCTCCTGGTTGTTTTGCATTTGCACAGTGAGAGAAAGACAGAGAGGTAACTTTGACATTTCACTTTTAATTTATCAAGAGCTCTATTAACAGTGGAAACAATAAAAAGGACAATATTCCATTCCCTTCAGATACAAAGTATCAGGATCATGTGAATAGTTAAAATGTCATACCCGCGGTTAAATGGGAGGTGTTCTGCGTGTCTGTAAAGGTGAAGTACAACCACAGGCCTAATGATGGGGGATTGTTATTGGGGCACTTGTCTCCCGCAGAGAGAAGAGAAGGTCAACACAGGAGCTGCGAATAACAGAGACAAAGCACTGGATAGTTGGAGGCACACTGAGACATAGAGTGACAGAAGGAGAAGCAGGGAAAAGTGCCAGGGAAATATAAAGAGACACGCAGAGAATGGGGGACGGGACGGGAATTGTGCTGACAAAGCTAGACAGAAACAAATATCGACATTGATGGAGGGTCTTTCCTCATCCATCTGTCATTGACCACAGGATCACATGACAAATGCAAGCTTCTGACTGCAGACAGCAAACTCATCAAAGCTCAGACCACCCTACACACACGCACACAGCCTCGGAAATTTTTTAGACTTTTCTCTGCTTCTGTTTGCCAGCCCCTGTGGGGATCTCTTCCCTCCTGCCTACCTTTAGCTCCCCTGATACCCCCCCCCCCCCCC